TCAAATAAATAAATAAAATCTTTAAAAAAAATAATAATAATTTAGAAATGCCATCTTTCAGCACTAGGCTTCAACCATTATCAGCTATACTTAAAATTCTAATATATTCTGATTGACAAGATTATCAAATGCAGCTTATAACAGTGTTACTCTTTCTTTTTTTTTTCCCTCTCCCTGGCAGGACCTGTTGGGGCCCAGCCCCTACTCATGGTGCCCAGAAGACCTGGCTATGGCACCATGGGCAAACCCATTAAATTGCTGGCTAACTGTTTTCAAGTTGAAATCCCAAAGATTGATGTCTACCTCTATGAGGTAGATATTAAACCAGACAAGTGTCCTAGGAGAGTGAACAGGTAAGAATCATGAAATCATGGAGATTATTTTGCTGTTAGTATTTGTCTTTGCTTTAGTAATTATGTTTATCTTTCATATTTAATAACAATGATAATATTTAACAGTTTGACCAGGAACAGGTGGTAATTTGTTTTGAAATTGATTGTACTTCAGTGGTTTGATGTTGGGAAAAATCTACAGCCTTGAAATTTTCTCATTATACCATGAGCTCACATATTTTCTCTGTGATAACAGAGAAGGTTCAAGTCTTTTTTTTATATGCTCTTGAAAGCAGACTAAGCATCTTTTCCATTGCTATCAGGTAATATATCTGTGCTTTCTTTTTTCCTCCCATCTCCACCCCCCACCTTACTTATCCCTTTAAAATGATGGGATGGTAGCAGTAGTGGGTAGAGATAGTGGTTGTCATGTTTTATGCTTTCTGTTCTGATTCTCAACTCCTCTAACTTTCTCTTACATAGGAACAAGTATATATGATATATAAAGATTTATCAATCTGCTTTCAGTAAGCTGCTTCTCTCACCTTCCCCAAATAATGTATGTGTGTGTGTATATATGTGTATTATATACACATATGGTTGTGGTTTGGGTAATGGAATATAAAAGGAATTTATGATACGGTGTACACCATGAAGGAGGTTTTAAAAAACAAAGACTTACGGACAAAACATTTAGAAAACAGTGATATTCAGCTTAGCATTTGGTTTGTACTATTAAATACCTCAGCCTTTTCTTATTCAGTAAGTATTATTATTATTTAAGAGTCTTCATTTAAGATATAGGTGGTTCTTGCTGTTAAGAAAATTTTAATTTAGATAAGACACATAAGAAACATGAAGTGAATGGGCACTGACACCTTGTGATAACATGTAATCATATTAATGTTATAATTAATGTGGACTGCAGAATTCTTTCTGAGGTCACCCCCTATGATAAAATTTAGCTCCCTGTGGCCTACAGAATGACATCCCAAATTTACTATAGCATTCTCTGCTTAGTTTGGCTCTTATCTGTATCCTTTTCTATATTCTGCAGCTCTTATCTGGAATGCCTTCTCTGCCCATGTCTATCCGGCAAATTCTATTTTTCTATTATTTTTCAAGACATACCTTTTTTGGGGCACCTGGGTGGCTCAGTCGTTAAGCGTCTGCCTTCAGCTTGGGTCATGATCCCAGGGTCCTGGGATCGAGCCCCGCATCGGGCTCCCTGCTCAGCGGGAAGCCTGCTTCTCCCTCTCCCACTTCCCCTGCTTGTGTTCCCTCTCTCGCTATGTCTCTCTCTGTCAAGTAAATGAATAAAATCTTAAAAAAAAAAAATTATTAGAGAGAGCGAGAGAGCACAAGCAGGGGGAGTGGCAGAAGGAGAGGGAGAAGCAGGCTCCCCTCTCAGCAGGGAGCCCAATGTGGGGCTTGATCTCAGGACTCTGGGATCATTACCTTAGCTGAAGGCAAACGCTTAACTGAATGAGCCACGCAGTTGTCCCCAAGACATACCTTTTTAACTCTGTAGTCAGAGGCAGTTCATTCTTCTGTGACCGTATAGTATTTGGTGTACACTCCTTTAATAGTATTTTTACTGTTTTATGGTTATTACTTGTTGCTTCCCTCTTCTCCCAGTATAATATCTTCATGAAAAGGAATACTCTTTCTCATTATCTTTGTAGCCCTGATACTAGCTTGATGATTGGCACATAATACTCAGTAGAGTGAATGAAAGGTTTATAAAAGTAAAATGAAATGAGTATGATGGTAGGGAACAGGAAAGAGAACTGGACATTATAAAGAGCTGTCTGTGCCTAGATAGAGATTTTCAGTGCCCTACCCTTCTCTCCTGCGGTCTCTAGGCTAGTCTTGGTCTTAGACTCCTTCCTCTCTCTCGGCTGTCTTTCTGCTAGCCATCATCCACTTACGGGGACCTCTCTTCATGCTGCACTCTCAAATTCACTTTTTCTTCTTACTCAAAATCGGGGTGTTAATTTGTAAATTGAAGGATAATCCTGACCCTTCTGGGTTTTTTCCTTAAGATTTTATGTATTTGAGAGAGAGAGAGAGTGAGAGCGAGTGCACACAAGCAAGGAGGGGAGGGGCAGAGGGAGAAGGGGACTCCCTGCTGAGCAGAGAGCCCAACATGGGGCTCGATCCCAGGACCCTGGGATCATGATCTGAGCTGAAGGCAGACACTTAACTGACTGAGCCACCCAGGTGCCCCCTGACCCTTCTGTTTGATGTTTACATTTTTTAAAGGCATTTATTCGGGTGCCTGGGTATCTCAGTCATTTAAGCATCTGACTCT